TTCAATCAACTACATGTTTGGAGAATTTTGGTAAAATTGGCACATTCAACTGTACACAATACAAAGAACTTTTTTCAGCAACACAGAATTAAAGCAGCCGGCTAAGATAGTTTTTTTTTGGTGGGAAAATTTTGGGGCAATTAGGCCTATTCAACTACGCAATCCAAAGGATTTTTCAGGATACTTGTCGTGGAATTTGGCTACGATAAACATTTAATGGACCCTCAGAGTAGAGAACTGGGCAAAAGAGATAGAGAGAAATGCGAGTGCACCTGAGGGCATGTGGAGTGTTGTCTCGTGTTAAAGAAATGTTAGCATACTCACACCTCCCTATCTCCTTTCACACAGCTCGGCCGATAAAAGTCTGGTTGTTCCTCCCGATCATTCTGGTCTTCAGAGTTCACATCTTGAAGACAGAGAAACAGTAGTCAGTGTATTGAAAACAGCAATTGACAAAGTAGGACTGAAAATCTGAAAGTCATCCTCATAATATTCACAACAAAGAAAACCAGTGAAAATGCTATGTATGTTGGCTGTCTATACTTGCACCCCTGCTGAAATTAGGACAAATGTTATGAAATACATATTTACCTGTACATGTTTCATGTTTATATCCTTCAGTGCCTTCATCTGGTCAGGTTTGTACAGGAGCTGATGGACATCATCACAGGTTTCTCCCAGTCACCACAGGAACATCAGGACACAACTGAATATCATAAGAATACTTAGTGTGATGCCAAAGAATATTTCCATAACATGTTACAGCTGACTCTCAGGATTACAAAGATGTGTAGCCTTTGTGTGAAAGAATAATTAAGTGTGATACAAAAAAGAATCTCCAGGCAATGCCGAATGAACATAAAAGCTAATAATACAATAAAATTGAACAATTCATATGCTTGAATAGATGTACACTGTTGGAGGTGTTAGGCTATAGAAAGGTGTTTTAAACTTAAAACCTGTTTCTGGTCATGGTAGTGTGTCGTGATGATCATGTGTGTTGTAATGCACTATCTCACCTGTACAAACTCTTCTCTTCACCATATCTTCAAGTCAACTGGTCTGGTTTGTACAGAAGTCACCCATCATCTCCGTTAGGATAGGAACATCAGGACACCTATTAGTCATAGCAACATTGAACACATGCAAGTTATGATAAAATACGTCAATAGATATACAAAGTGTTACACTATAGAAAGTTGTTTCTAAACATGTTATTGGTTACAGGAAACATGTTTAAGCTATAGCCCTCAGAATTCTTAACATGATCCGAGAAGGAAGAAAAAACTGACAAAAGTTGTGAACCAGTGTCTCACCTGTGCAGATTCTTCACTTCACTGGGTCTTCAAGTCAACTGGTTTGCTGACAGTACTTGTCTGGTCTGGTTTAGACTGAGGTCGCCCATCATCACAGGTTTCTCGCATGGCCAGTCAGGACAGCTGACCCTCAGGACACACCTTTTAAACAATATGAAAGCATAATTAGTGTGATGCAAAAAAAACTCAATGCCTGTTAAAGGTTTTTTTCTGTGAAGTGCAAGACCTAAGTGAAGAAACTTTGCAGTGAATATATGCAGTGGATAACCATATGAATTTTGTAAAGCATCATCTCACCTGTAGATGCTGTCATCTTGCTCTTGGATCTTCAAATCTATGCACCTGGTCTGCCCTACTCTTGTCAGGTTCAGACAGGAGTCAGCAGTCACCTAAGTATAAAGCAGTATATGTTACACACTTATCTCACAGAACATAAAACACAGAAATCAGATTTTTCTCACCTCATAGTCGTACTCCTCTGGACTCTTCAAATCACCAGGACCTGTCTGGTCTGGTCCAATCTTCTCTTGTCAGGTTCAGACAGGAGTCACCATCAGTCAGCAGCCACCTAACTATACAACATTATATGTTACATATTTGTTTAAAACACACCAGGTAAATTGCAAGTTAATTGCAGTATTCAGATTTTTCTCACCTGATATATTTTGGAATCTTCAAATCACCAGGTCTGGTCTGGTTCAATCTTCTCTTGTGAGGTTCAGACAGGAGTCTGCATCAGTCAGCAGCCACCTAACTATACAACACAATATGTTACATATTTGTTTAAAAACAGGTAAATTGTAAGTAAATTGCATAATTTAGATTTTTCTCACCCGATATTCCTCTAGAGTCTGTACAACATTATATGCTACATATTTGTTTAAAACACACCAGGTAAATGGTAAGTAAATTGCAGCATTTGGATTTTTCTCACCTGATATTCCTTTGGAATCTTCAAATCACCAGAATCACCAGGTCTGGTCCAATCTTCTCTTGTCAGGTTCAGACAGGAGTCCTCGCTACTGCATCAGTCAGCAGCCACCTAACTATACAACATTATTTATGTTACACACTTGTCTTAAATAACAACAAATAACTTAACTAGCAGTAAGAAAAGTTACCTTAAGACTAGCCTTTGTGGACTAGATTGCAAATAAATTATGGAAAAATTACTGCAAAAGAATCTGCTGCCAAGACCGCCTTTCAAAGCAAGTTGGAATTCAAAATCTACTACATGTAACTGTAATCCTAAATTTGAACTCTATCTATATTTCTTTTTAAAAAGAACAATTGCGAAAAAAAAAACAATTCAACACCGCAATTACGGACCTTAGCGCTAATTAGTTTAGCAGTAATTGTTCATATACAGTGTATTTGTTGTATGTATTTTTATGTGCATCCAGGATTACCTGAAAAGCAGGCCAAATGGCCTGAGCTGTAATTACTGGTAAAACAAATCAACTGAAACTGAAAGTTTCAAACTGAGTACTAGTATTAATAAATAATCATCTACAGTACAGAAACAAGGCGGGAACAATTATACCCACGTGTGGCGCAGTTACACAGGTGGTCCCCTCGCCACGAGGCAGTCAAATTTTCTTACTTTTTCTGTGTTTATCTCCTCAAAATTATTGTAGAAATACACGGAAGCTATTTGTTTTTTTTATTACCGAAGGACGCCTATGAAATAAACTTGATAAATACATGTATGGTCAAACCTTTAGAAGACGAAAACAACAATATTCAAACACTCGCACATAAAAAAAAACCGCAAAATGTTCATAATACTAAAGATTTTTCGAGAATACAACGTGCCATGTATTTCATGTTCACAAATTTCAACAGAATAGCAAACAGAATATGTTGGAATTTTACCTTTCTCTTCCTAAAAAGTCTTCCCCTCGCCGCCAGAAATGCATGTCCTCACAACAGTAGCCATTTTGTCTTCTTCACCACAAGCACATGTGCAGTCAGAAAATACAGGTTCTCTCCTCCAAACAGACACACTACCGGCTCAAATCCACAGAGGAGTTCCGAATACTCCATATGCTATCCGAAAACGCAGAATGGTAAAATATTCGGGAACAAGAAACTGAAATTTCGTCCTAAAATTCGGGCATGGGGAACTCAAGAACATTCTCTCAGCGCGACATGTGAGAAATGAACGGACTGTACCAAGTGCGATGTTATTGCAGGGGAACCAGAAAACTGTCAATTCTAAAAAGAATTTCTGCCTTAATGATCTGGAGGTAAATCAGTAAATTTCCTTTGAAAAAGTAAAATATGTGAATAAAAACGATGAGTCACATCTTTTTTCAACGATTACTAAGTTCTCGAGTTTCCGATTTTAATCGCGTAAATTTGGGTCTAACCGAAGCACCACAACCAAGGCGGAAGGACACTCGGAAGTAAGCCTCGGGTCCGAAATTTTCACCCAAAACGCATCCATTCTTTCACTTTTCAACCAAATTACTATTTAATGCCATTTTGTAGCAGATCATGAGAAATGTGAACTCAAAACTCAACCATCGAAAGCTTACGTCACTTTTTGTACCGCGCACTTTTTCCCTGTCGCGGAAGAATTGGTGTGCACCGGTCCTGGATTGTGTCTGTCCTTGGTGCTGAAAACACCATCAGACGCAAGTTTTACAACTTATTCTTTGTTCTTTAAAATATAGCTTCCAGAGAAGTGCTCTTATGTATGTCGAATGAACGTACGTTGTTTTCGTGTTTCTGTGTATGTGATTTGATGTGACGAAACATTTTATTGGTCCATAATAAGATTATCAATATGTAAACGTTCACCTCTGATGCGTTCTGTGGGTGCTGTCCCTATGCCTCGCGCCACGGGCTATTGTGAAGATCTCGGTGTTAGCATTTTCTTTATACTTTTCTTGTAATGGCAGTCTTTTGGCATCATTTTTCATCGGAAAATCTTTTCCCCCTAAACTTTGAGAGGTTAAAGAAAGTAAAAAATCTTTTGTTCTTGTAGCTAGAGGGATATCATTCATTCTTGAAATACATCTTTTGGTCTAGTTATACTGATCAATTCATAAAACATTACAATAGTATAAAAGGCATTCCAACATTGGTATCTGTTTTCCAATACATATTTGTTTTGCAATTCACAGCATGTATTTACTAATTTTTGCAGATTCTTTGTGTGATGGTCTCAACAGTATGGTAACAGTTTTAGAAACAGACGAAAAGTGATGCATGCACTGATGTCATCCACATAATGAAGTCCCTTAACATCTGAAACAGAAAATAATGTTATAATTTTAGGCAAAATTGTACACACTGTCGTTATTCTATATAATCATTTGGGGATGGTCTAAAAACTTATCAAATACTGTACCACCAAAAAAGAATATTACTCACACTGTGCAGATGGTTTTGCAATATCATTTATTCTTTATTGATGTTGATACTTGGCAAAATGCCGGCATATCTTTTAACTAATTGTAATAGTCTAGATCTAGAAGCTCAACGGTGTGTGGTCTAAAATTCAAGAGAAGTAAAAACATTCCACTTCATGTATTCATATTTTAGTAATATACATGAACCATCATATCACAATTACAATTACTGAGCATATCTTTCAAACATTGCCACTGTCATAATATTAAATCTATTATTTTTCATCAATTATATTATCAAATTATATTAATTACCTGTTAAAAAGAAATTGCAAATCACTTGGACACCACCCAGATTTCTTGCATAAAAATTGTTTGTAAAATCTCTCTCCTTCATTGCTCTTCTGTATTTGCACAGTTTAGTATAATGTTGACATATACTGTGACATATTTTCCAGTCAAACCTTTTGTTAGAAAACAAGACTTAGTGTTTGGAAAAGGTATACGTAGGACATATTAAAGGGCAAATCCCAATTCAATCAGAAAAGTCTGCCTTGAATTTTGCAAAACGTACTATGAAAAATAAGATGCAAATCTTATATATAATCAAAATACAACTTTATACATAATATTGGAAGTCTCTAGTGCTCTTCACAATCATACTCTTAACAAAACACATAATCTGAGATGTCCTTTTTCTGTTGGGTGATAATACGGTCATATAGAAAGTCCTCCGATACTATTGGCACCTGCAGAAATACAAAAGACGTGTTTATATCTTGCTCTCTCACTAGTATACAAGTATAAAAATGCCACCACCTGTATCTACCATAAAGGGAATATTCTTACACAACACACTGTCAATGTCACCATATGTAGTTCACATTAGTTTTACATACATGTACATGTAGTTTGATATTACAAAAAGAAGGTAGTATGTATGTCAAAAGTACACACAATTGGGTTCCTTGCATACAGTAAAGATGACATTCTTAACACCTGATATTTTCTAACCATGGTTCAAGACTTAAACCAAGATGATGCTTAAGCAGGATTTAAGTGAAGATAAACTTTTCCACATTTCTCACCATATAGTAAAAAAATAGGGTATACATGTATATAATTTTTTTCCTTGTGTTGGACAGCTAAATCCTATGTCAGAATGACTTGTATCAATATAGAACATAGAATGATGAAATTTTTAAGCTGCGATATTGAGATGACATCCTACCTGAGCGTTCTCTGCCAGGCTGACTTTTGTAGAGGGTGTTTCTCCTTTCATCTCGGAGGCAGACGCCACCAAAGTCACACCCATATACAGCTGCTGTTGGGTGGCTGGAAGGTACAAGTCAAATTTTCATTTTGTTTTACAGCCTTCAAATAAGTCCAACTGTTTCAACCACAACATTCTGTAATGTCAGCACTTATAAAGACTATATATTTTAGACTAATATACTGGTGGATACCTAATACCAGCTCAACAAAGAACAAGAAATGGAGTCATTGCCTTCAAGTATCAGAGATATCAACTAAGAATTGAGGTGTTCAAAAACTATTGTAGAGTGGAACTCTCTGCCATCAAGTGCAGTAGGGGCAATGCCGCATCATATCTTGATTAGCCTGCTACTGCAGGGTTGCAGATCTTGGGGAGCAGACTAAAGCCAACAAGGCTGGACACCCAGGGGTATTAGGAATCAGCTGCCCGGTCTGGTCTTAGCAGCAGTTTATGCGGACTGGACCGGGCAGCTGATTCAGAATACCTGGACTCCAGGCTACACTACTACATTGTACCTAGATAGCTTTAAACAATGTTTAGACTTTGATGTTCAAAGGCTAGGGTTAAAAGATATAGTTGCGTACCTGTTTTGCCGCCATGTTTAATGATGAGGTTGTAGATTTCGGAGTGTTTGTCGGCCAGTTTACCCGCTAGGTGAATGGTCAGGCCAGACAGGATCCTGTTACAGTAAAGACAGTCAAATGACTTGTTATCAGTTCATTCCACAAAAAAATGAAGATGTTTTAATGCTTGCAGTATTCATTGTTTCTAAAGATATAATTATATATAACTATATTCATAAATGTTATTTTTTAAGTCTTTCCTATGTAGGAGTCAAATTGACGTTTAAACAGACTTATAATTCATTAAAATGAGTAAAATGAGCTAGACATTAGAATCTCACTTGGTTGCTGGCATCTTGGTTGCTGTATCATACAATTTCTTCATTTCATCGACACTTTTGGTTGTCTTGATACTTTTCTGCAGAAATACATAATATTGTAGAACATTCAGACAACAAGCATTATCAAACAAATAAAGTTCAATGAATGAAAAGCCATTATTGTACGTTTATGCTCTTACGAGCTAATTACAGGTTATGTCTAAAGCAGAGGTAAAAATTACAGTTACTGTAACATCCTTACTAAAACTATACATTACTAATGTGAACTATTAGTACTATTTGCAGGTTCAACTTCTTCTTGCTTCAAGGCAGTTATAGATTCAATGCAACTTTGCTTCTCTAGACAGTATTACCAAGGAGAAGAACAGGTCTTAATAACATGTACTAGAACTGGTATGAAAAAAAGTGAAAAATTGTGGCAATGTTTGCCACAAATAATACAAAAAAGAAAGCTTTCTAAGATTTGTCCACCCTTACTATTGTTGTGACACCTTGAATTTTAATTTGCCAGAAATATTCACAAAATGCTGCCCACCTACCTTGTACTTGAAGTCTCCGTGTGCGTGAGTGTAGTGTAGGATGTAACATGGTAGGATGTGATGTGAGTTGAAGATGATGAGTTCCTTTTTGTCTGGTGAGGTGTGTGAGTCGTACCCCTTCATCAGAGGACTGCCATGGATCAGGGAGGAACACTGGTATACCTGGAAGATATGTTGGGAAAATATTATATCTAATATACATGTATCATATCTATTATATCTCAACATACATGTACATGTATATAACAAGTTTCCCAATTGCTGCTACCAGTATGATACACTTTGCATTGATATTGCCAGAGCCAGGCATTTATGTACTAAGTTACTGACAGCAGTTTGTCGACTGATTGAAATTTTGCTTTCATAGAAATCTACAATGTATATGATTGCCCATATATTAACCATCTCCCTGCTGCCTGATGACTAATATGTACAAATTTGATGACAGCAGGCTATTCCAGCAGGGAGGAGGTTAAAGGCATGCAGTGCAATTTCAGGGTGGCAAAACATATGCCCCATATTGACATTTACCGCCATTTCGTAACAAATTTTTGTTGTTATTTCATACTTCAAGCATTTGAAATAGCCTCAAAACAAGATATTTATTTTTTAGGCACCAGCCATAAATTGCTAGAACCAAACTAAAACCAAAACAACCATTTTCTGTCAGCGACATCGCATTTTTGCCTCACAGATATCAGTATGATGATGGGACAGCCCCTCCCCTCTCAGACAACTCATACCCCAGCCCCCACCCCCCTGTCAGCTTTCCCCCAGTCCCACCTTGCCTGGCAGCACCTGACACAACCCCTCCCCTCTCAAACTCATACCCCAGCCCCCAGCACCCCTAGGCAGCTTCCCCCCAGCCCCACCTTGCCTGGCAGCACCTGACACAGCAGGATCCTGTTCCCACCCTTGATGTACGGCATGGAGTAGGACGGATACTCGCTGAAGTAAACACCCTTCCCGTACCAGCCTGTATCTGTCGCATGCTTGAAACCAGATTCACCTGGAAGAAATGGGGAAAGAGAGGAATTCTTACATGAGTCCTCTCAAGGACATTGGTCCTCCTAATTGTTTAAAATTAATGATTGCCCAGTCTTAAGATCTAATCCCATGTGGTCCAGTGGTTAGGATTTGATGCTCTCACCGCCAAGGCTGTTGTTTGATTCCTGGCAAGGTAACCACTGCTTTAGTAGTAGTTCCCATGCCAGAAACACCACCAGAAACACGTGCGACGTCACATTCTGTGCCGTATTTGGATAACAGAAAAATACTGTCATGGTTACAAAAATTTCTACACACACCAACAAACCAACCATCAACAAATGACTGAATGAATGAATGAAGCTAAGCGAATACTCAAAAAAACCTGGTGCTTTGAACCCTAGGCTGGTGATAGGGTCGATGTTTGCCTGTGCTGTCCCGTGGAAAGCCAACACTGGATAAGACAGCATCTCTCCTCGCTTGTCTCTCAGGTCCTTCTGGGCTTGTCTGGAGAAACATAAAAAACCTCACTGATCTGGAATAACAAATCAACAGGAAAGTGCATTTGGGGCTTCTTCTGGTGAAATCATAAGATACCCATGACTTACCTAAATCTCTTCACGACTTCAGGAGACACAACATACTCCACTTTAGTTACTCGATATCTGCAGGTGAGATAAACAACATGTAATACACACAACATACTGAAACAAACTATGGGCGAGTAGAAACACACACGCAAAAAAAACAACCCGGCTCCCCAGAATCGAAACTGGGCTGCCATGCTTGAGAACTCGATGCCATGCTGGATTTTTTGGCATGTGGTACCAATCTTGGTAACACATACTCTAGTCATTTCTTTTTAAACCACAGGTATTCAGAGTATGAATTGAAGAGGAAGACATTAATATCATGAATAACTTAACGGGTACAAATTGAGAATATTTCCTACCCACTGCCGGCATCTACAAGTCTGTAGAACTGAGACTCTGCAAGTCTGAAGTGAACCTGAAAAATGAAGAAACATGTGGATGGAATAATCATGAACAAACATAACAACTTGTTTAAAGTCAAAACTTTTGCTCCTTCGCAAAAGAATTGTTCTCACATAGAGCACCATTTACCAGATACCATTGACCCAGTAGTGACGTCACACTTCAGAGAAGCCATGTGACAAGTCTACTGGGTCAGTCTATTGAGGAAGACCAGAGTGACTGGTCGAAAGCTCTAGGTGAGAACAATTCTTTGTGTTAAAACAAAAGTTTTAAACCTAAAACATGCAACTATCAACACAGACAAACTTTCATGAAAATATAACAACTATGTGTGCATTCATGTCTAACTTATTCAGCTTCATAAAACAATTACAATTTGTATTATGATTTTATCCCTAGAATGTTAATAAGCAAGTGTTCAATAATCAAAGTCGTTTTAATTCCTATTCCAATGTCTGGTACATTGATTTTACTAAAAATGTTATTTTTATTGACCTGTGCAGCAGACCCTTCCTTGTACTGTCTCTCTGGGACCAAGGGGAACTTGGTGACCTCTGACTTCTCCAGAGCCTCTTTTTCACCTTCCACCAACAGCAGCCCTTCTGACAACTAAAAACACAGTGAAACAAAGACTTCATGAACTTGCAATAAAAAAACTCATGTTTATAGCAAGACTTCATGAACTAGTGTGGTGGGTTCTTTAATTAGATCAAGTTTTTTTATTGCAAGTTCATGCCCGAGGGCTAATTGCAAACAGACGTTTTGTGTAGGGTATGCTTCAAGCTCTCCCCTGTCTTATCTGAGGGACATCCTTAACCACAGCAAGGTGCTAATTTCTACCTGAGTGAAATGAGGAAAGTCATGTTAACTGCCTCTCCAAAAGGCACAAGATCGATGACATAGCAGGATTCGAACTCAGGACCTCTTGGTTCTGACACCCTGCTGTTATGTCTCATGACACCAAAAATAAGGTGATACAAGCATCACACTTTACCCCACCTCTTGTTGGAGTGTCTGTAGTTCCTTCTCCTTCCTCTCCACTTCTTTCTTGGTGTCCTGTAACTCCTCCTCCAGCTTCTTCTTGGCCTCCACAGCTCTCTGGATCAACGCTCGTCTCTCCTCCTCCGTCAGTTTGGAGTAGTTCTTCACCAGTCGTGTGGCGTCGCTGTCTGACTTCACCAACGGGGATGCCTGAAATATCATGTCTAATGTTTAATTTAGGCCATGTTGATTTGATTATATGGATGGCATCCTCTGGGAACCCCAAAACTGATGCGAGTGTGCGAATGAAGAAAGTTTGGCCCCCCAAAAAGTTGCCTTCATTATGAAATCTACATTGATGAAGGTTGAAGAAACGACTAAACAGAGTACAGTATGGCAAATAATAGATTCTTCATTTTCGTTTCTTCACATTTTCTTCTTTTCCATAGGAATTGATTTTGGCATTAGCATTATTTTCCAATATTTTTTTTTCCAATTTACGCCATATATTTGCTCATTTAGCAGCTGCTTTGTACAATTTACAGTATGGTCAAAACATTTTTCTTCGGAAACAGACAAAAATTCAAATCAACATGGCCTTGAGGAAAAATACAAAATAATATGTTGACAAACGATTTACAGTTTAGAGTAGGAACTTGGGTAATTCTACTACACAAACGGTAGCCATTAAGAACGTGAAATTTAGATCTTGAAGAATCTTGGGTCGGTGAAGAAGAATCTTGTTAATCATAACCTTTTCGTCCTCGCAGTCGGCCAGTTCTGTATCGGTGTCGTCGCTGTCCTGTGGTTCCCCGCCCGTGGTTGGATGGGAGAACTGTGCGAAGTGGAGCAGGTTCTTCCGGTAACAGTTGGCGCCGTACTTACATGGTGGCAGGCCTGACGTGGACGCAACAGCGGACAAATCTGTTCTATCTACAGCCTAGAAAGGGGTAGATAGGGGTAAAAACTACAGTACAATAATATCAGAATGTACAATATAAATGAAATGAAATATAAATAGTAGTACAATATATACAGAATGTACAATATATATAGTACAATATACAATGTTACAGAATGTATGTAATATATACAGAATGAACAATGTATACAGAAAAAAGACAACACTCCTTTTCATTCGCTTTTTTCTGCTGTTTAAGCTTTTGGTGAATATGTCAGTCGAACAACAATACCCAAGTAAGTGTGCATTTCAAGTTCAAGCATTTTGTTCCGTAAATTATACGTGCCTTGAATTGGCCATTATACAAATGGTCTCCAAACTTAGAAAAATACCTCCGGACCTGAGGCGTCGCCAAAAAAGTTAGAATGTAAGATTTGTCTTTATTGCCTTTATTCTGTAAGTTTGTACATATGTATTACGTTACAGACTGGGCTTATATATTTGTCCTACAGCACAGATCTGAAAAGGGGAGGGGCGCTCAACTACACGACCATTTAGACCTATGAATCTTTTTACCTGGGAGGTCTCTCCATCTTTTGGGTGTCGGAACTCCTTGAAGTGTTGCGGGTTCTTCCTGTAACAAGACGCGCCGTAAGGACACAGCGGTAGATCGTCAGAGTCGGAGGTTTTGAGTTTCTTGCTCGCAGGTCCTCCATCCACGGCGGCCATGTTTGTTGTGATGGGAATGACCTCAGGTAACCCCGGGCATGTCCAGGCGGCAGCGTGACGTCACCAACGTGGGATTTAGAAAAAAATTCCAATTAAATGAAACTAGGAACTAATAGGATACAAATACTTTTGACAAATGTATCAAATATTCAAATCAGAAAATAGGTATTTTCATATAATATAGCTGCAAAGCATACAACTGTTATTGACTACGTCATGAACGTTACACCTGCCACCCAGCTGCATTTCTCATGAAATCCGATAGAGGAGAAAAATGGATACAGTTTATGGCCCTCCTTCTGACTGCGTTGCGCAATGGCAAAGAAAAAGCTGACAGGACAAAACCTTTCCTTTCACATATACATACTTCGTGCTAGGACTGCATTTGTTTTTGCCAACTTTTAAAAGCTGTAAAAACAAGTACGTCTGAAAAACACGTGAACCGCTGGGGACAAGGACAGTGAAATCTGAGTTGACCTGTTGTTGTTTTTTTCTTGGACGGATCCTCAACTGATGAAAGAAGACGTACCAGGGAAAAACAGGGTGGTCCAATGATCTTGAACTTTAGCTACCTTCGGCTTCCTACCAGGATATAAAGTTACGCTCCAGAAAACGGGACGTATTCCTGGCCTAGGCGCCTACTGAGCTCCCAAACCACCCTTTAAATACCTTACACAACTCTCCAAGCAAAGGTTTGTGTTTTGGCTTATTTTTGGCGTGTTTTTAGGCTTTTTACGCCAACCGTTGGGTTGGCGTAGAATCCGGGTTCTAGTGCAGAAAAGGAACCCGGATAAAAAAGCCTAAAACACGCCAAAAATAAGCCAAAACCCAAACCTCTGCTTGGAGAGTAACCTGACACCAAGTATTTCAACAATTACGGTTTCGGCCTTGGTAACAGATGCATGAAGTGCTGACAAGGCAAAAACCTGGTCAACATGTTTTTGAGACTACGGTAACAAGTTACGCCATCCCCCATACGTCACGTTGCTTCGTCAGCAAGAAGTTCGGCAGGCATGCTCGTGGTTGTTATTCGCCTACCACCTAGCTACTAACAAAGGCCCTCCAAATTTTACGTGATGGTTCGGAATCTTAGGCTAATAATTTTGTCTCCGATGGCTCTTGAAGGATTTGAGCAAGTTCAAACACATAACAAACTGTAACTCATGACGGCAGAAATCAAATTTTTCGAGAGACAAGAAAGCTACGTATATGCTTGCAAGAGACCTCACAGAGACAACATTTCGGGATGGAATTCAAAATAATTTCTCTTCTATCTTATATCGGTATCTGATCTCTTGATCTTGTGACCAAGGTTAATAAGACTGTATTTGCACTGAAATTACAACTGTAAATACCAGTAAATACATAAACTCCTATATTAAAAGCCGCACTTTTTAATTCAACCTTTGATCAACTGACATTGACCTTATGAGGTTAGGGGCGGACCAAGAAAGATCCTGGAGTGGGGAATTCGAAAAAGACACCGCACATTGTTATTCTTGCCATGAAGGAAATGAATGCACAACAAACCTGACGAAACTGAATGCCACATGTCAACGGAAAATTAGATCATAATCCAGCGTAACCACCAGAAAAATGCGTCCGTGAATAGTTTCATGGCCTTTCATCAGGTTGGTAAGTCACTGAATCTATAGCAGAAACACCTGTGCAAGGTGAACTAGTCATATTTGCCCTGAGGAAGGTGAGAGACGGTCAACGAAATGTGGACTGAATAAAACACTTGGTTGTGTAAAAAGAGCCTCTTTATTAAAGGAAAAATAGAGATTTCAACATTTTCACTCCTCCTTCCACTGATCATACAGAATCCTCCCTTACAACCTGTCGTGCTTTATTATTAATGATGTTTGCATGTACTAGTGTTCTGCACGTTCTCAGAAGCTACGAGTGTATAGTAATTACGCAATAGCTGTGTGGGAGGGGGTCAAGAGAAGGACACGTTCAATGTGTTAATATGTTACGACTGTGTTGTAATGTAGATAGCAACAAAAATACGCGAATATTTGCCTTAGGAGGGATACGCCATTGGAAAGTAATGGCAATAAAAATAGGTCCACGTTTTGATGTTAGGTGGAAACACAGTGAAGAGTCTGAAATTATCATCGAAAACCAAGTTCACATTTGTGTTTTAATTCAACATTCTTTAGTATATTCGCGGTTGAATATTTGAGCTGTATGACTTAATTGAAATAATACTTGACACATGCACAAAGGCCGTGAGTCATGCTATGGTCTCAAGAAGATAACAATCTTTTTCCAACAAAGGTTTAACAAAGTCTGGTAAGCTCGGTACTTTAGTGACTAGCACGGGAGTAGGTTAAAGGTAATCAATAGACACGTGTCTGGGATGATGTTGACCGTCAATATGTGCCGGGATTTGTAAAACTCGTGAATAAAACATTCTCTAGATTTACTTCAAAGAGAAATTTGTTTAACACACATGTAATTTTACCCCATAAAAGATTAGAATGATCTTATAATATTGCCGCCTTTGGTATCCCCCACCCCTTGGGTACAACAACCCGCACGTACTGTGTGATTAAAAGTAGTTTGTCATTTTTAGACTTAAAGTTGCATTATGTAACACTAGGACGATACAAAATTTGTTGACATTCTGGTATTTTGTGGTGGCAACATAAATGCGAGATAATTACACAAATATGTTGAAAAAAAATTATAAGTGGAAGTTACAAATCAAACAAATATTTTTTACGTAATTTATTTCAATTTTTGTGTAAAAGTATTACATAATTCCTCTTTAAAGCTTCTTAGTTGCTGCTGTAAGGAAATTTGGAGGAGCTCCATTAATTGGCAGGAAATTCGCGATCGTGCCAGCTTCTCGGTGTTTGCAAGAGATCCCGTTTGGTCCTGTCAGATAATGTTGTTCGCCTAGCTCAGCAGAGTTCATCGGACTTCAGAACCGGTCCTAACCTGATTTTTCTGGATAGAGGTCAACTTTTATGGACCGAGGACTCGGATGATGATTAGGCTTATCTGAAATTGTTGTTTGTCCTGTCTCATACTGTAGAGTTCACTGAACTTAAAACCGCAGCTCTACCCAGATTTTGGACAAAGGACCTAGGATTGACTTTAATACTGGTTATGGGTTATGCATGGGTGAAGAGAGAAGTCACAATAGAGAGTATAGAAATGGTAGATAGTGTTGAACGTTGTTTGTCATATATATGCAGAGTTCAATGAACTGCATTGAAAGCTGCCTGGGAAGATAGGGGCATTTCTGGCTACCAGTACTAGTAACGTTATATGGCCACATAGCTCGGATGATAACTGCATAACCACTGAGCAGTCCCGAAAGGTCTTATTTTTGTATTAACCCCCAAGCAGATCTTTCGGTGGCCGCAAAGACAGTGCGAAATTGGCCGGATAGTATCCATTTCGGCCTAGACAGTTAAAAAGTTACCAGTACAAAAAGACAGCCCGATAAAATGCCCCAAATCATGTACACGCCAAAAATAAGCCAAATAAAGCGTACTTCTTGTGCATACAGAACATTCGTTACTTTCAGCTGTGAAATTCACATTAATGCCAGTCACAACATCTAAGCCAGCATATCCACTTTAGATGTAATGTTATAACACGTTGGGTTATCGCCGTGAGACACAAAATTTGACAGCTAGTGCAAATACATTTTGAGAAGGACTCAGCCTTTGCAAATATCTGTTGCTTTCTGCTTTCTACTAGGGGTTATATTCTACCCTATAGGAATACGTTTGCTATTACAGCAAAAGTTAAGGAACACAAGGAAGTGAAACATATTTTGGCATCAGATCTGTCAGCTTCTTGACAGCTGTGACATATTGACCGTATTTCCTCCCTTATGTCTGGAAAGCGGCTGAGGCCTTCAGTGTGTCGGAACGGGGGTGTTTGTGACTCCAAACTGGCAACATCCCAAGTACATGTACATTATGGGAGCCAATTGTTTGGCCATATAGGTACTCATTATGGTAAAGCCTAGTGTGCAAATTCGCACATTAATACATTAATACTCTTCTCTCGTTTCCACAGACACACACACACACACACACACGCACACACACACACGCACCGTGACACACACACACACGTGCACATTGACACGCACTCATTCAACCATATAAAAGGAAGCATGACACAGCACAAGTGTTCACTATTATAGGGCAAAGTGCAGTCTGGCTTTTCCGCTGAGCACAGGACAAAACTCCGGACGTGTATGTCTGTATGGTTTGAATTGGAGATAAAACTACTTTGAAGAGTCAGCATTCGTGATGAGTAGAGCCAAGGGGCAGTCCGAAGTTCGTCTGGTGATTTTTTTTTGTCGGCAAACTTTGTTTGCTGATACAGAAGTTTGTGGCTTGGCACCGAATCACCTAAAAATGCCCTTAACTTTGGTTTGTTTCCAGGCTACGAAGAAATGGCCCCGAATGTCAGCATGGCATCTAGTATTAATGATAAATGACACCTTAGCGCATTGTAACTACCCGTCTGAGCCCTGAATAGCTTGTTAGAACAAACAAGTTTATCACCTTTCAGGCGCCAAAGAATCGATAAACGAATGAAATGACCTTGTTAGACGGACTGACCCAGTGACAAGTGGTCACACTTTATATAATGTTCTTTATAATACCAAGGAGGCTAAAAATTCCTTGGTGACATACTTTTCTGCAGCTCAACTGAAAAAAGCAACGCATAACGCATATGATAGTGTCAGACGACCAACGAAGGACATTGAAATCTTGTCATTTTTGAGGGGCTAGACATTGTACACTTGGACATGTAGTAATCACAGGGTAGTGGTTGCACACAATTATTTTGAGGTGACCACATGGGGTACTGTACGATTGTCCGATGATTTGGCCATATTTGGTGTCAGGCTAATCTGAGATACATTAGCATTTTCACCAAATTATCTATGATTGCTAAGAAATCCCTATTCTCAATGAACTTAAAAAACCGACCCCTCATTCCAAAAGACCCCACAACTTGTAACATTTTCTTATATAGTGAAATAGACGAGAGCTGACGACTGAAAACTTTAATTCTCGAAACGTGAACAGAAATTGTCTTCATAAGTAAGGGACTGTACGATATTTACCGGGGGGGGAGGGCTGGTGCAAAATGGTCCGGTAAAAATTTTTTTCCATGGCCCTCCCCCCGGCTCAAAATTTTTTTCAATGGCCCTCCCCCCGGCTCAATTTTTTTTTCAATGGCCCTCCCCCAGCCCAAAAAATTTTTCGGTGGCCCTCCCCCCATTTTTCAAGTCCATGTCTCTTTCTCCCTGCGTAAATTCCCGAATGAAGTACGCATCCCGATTAAAGTACGCACCCCCGGTTTGGGGCTGGTGGGAGACAAATATTCCCGTCTGAAACGTAAAATGGAAAAACTCGAATTAAGTACGCACCCCTTCTACGCACGGCCGGTACCACAGTGAACATGTAGTATGTGTGTCTTAAAGACAGTTCGTCGTTCCAAACAAATTTAAAATTGTTAAAAACTAGATTTATGCCGTGTACTACGTGATGGTATGGTAACGTAGCGCGAAACGTTTCAAGTTCGGGCTTGTTTTTCACCGCCGGCCGCAGCCGACTTGCAAGACGTCACCACCGCATCGAAAGGTAAGGCAAGTGCGGCGAAACGCACAGATTTGGATCCAGCTTTGGAGTGTTGGTGATCAAGCAAGCAATGGTCAATAAAGATTCGTGAAAAAAAAGACAATATTTCAATATTGATTTTATCGGTAACGGGGGGTAGTTGAATGTTGATGCACAAGTACGTAGCTTTAATATTTTTAATACGAAATGCACCGAACGCATCTTCAATAGCGCCCGCGCGATCGACCCATGGAGAGCAACAATCATACAGGCGGAGAACTGGGCGGAGTATTTGGGTGTAGAGGTGCTACCGAATTTAAAATTTGACACCGAAACCAATTAACACAACAACAGAAGACTACTGGGATCAATGGGACTTGCGATTCCGAACAGGAGAAAGTGACAAGTTTGACTGCGTTTCAAGTAATCTCTCGTTATGTGATAGATATTTTTGTCACAAAATCAAAGGAATAAACACATGTACTCCGTAAAATTTATAAGTACAGTCTGTTCAGAGGAAAGAAAGACTTCCTTCTCGGGGTCCATGTTCTGGAAAGCTGTCCTCAGCGCTGCGCATGCCACGGCCCTCTCTGTGTTCTTCAGCTGTAGGTGTACTTTGCCTGTCGGCGCGCCAAACACCCCACCCACCGGCCGGGCGGTAAGATTTCATCAAAGACTACATTTTAAGTTAACTCCGCCCCTATCATTGTAGCTTGCCGAACAGTCGAGTAGGAGTACATCTAGCTGGAATTTTTACGTCGTACTGGCTGGTGTAGCCCGCTACAGAGTGATTTCCTGTGGCATTTATCAAGATTTAAAAGTATTTGTGATACGAAGTGAAACATGGTTAACAATTTCTGAACCTTTGAAACGACATGGGCATAATTTTTGTTGAAGATTGCTGAGTTGAACTCAAGCCGGAAGTGTATTGGAAATGATGACCGTCAGTCGAGGCACAACTGTTATGTTATCACATGTTACGTTACGACGATCAAGAACGTTCACGGCTTGCGGACCATTTCAAATATTACTCATAAACCCTACAATTGTATGTGTACTTACGGGAGGTTATATTTTTGCCGGGGTTCCACTGAGATCGGCGCCGGCTAGCTGGGGAACGATCCTGTCGGCATGACAAAGCGCCGGGCGTCATTGCCAGAGACCTACATTTTCTTACCGTGGCGTGGGTGACTTGACTTCTTCTTTTACCGCAACTTGGTGTAAATATCGACGATAGTCACAGGAAATATGTTCATTCATTGAAGTTTAACTTTATTTCCACTCGTCAATATTCTTATCTAAACATGCTACAGACGATCGATGTTCCATGCTCCCCGTGCCGGTGTTCCGCTATATTCCTGGGTCGTCCACGGATTTGTCGGCGGAAAACTCAAATAAAGTACGCACCGCGACTTTGGCGACGGCCCGCGAGACACTTCTGGGATTTTGAAAAATGTAAAAAGTGCGTACTATATTCGGGAATTTACGGCGTATTTCTTGTAATTCGGTACTACGCGACGCCATATTTTACAAAAGTTTTTCGGT